CATCATCATCATCATTACAGCCCTTCACAAGTCCACTGCTGAACATAGGCCTCCCCCAAGTAATGCCACAAAGCACGGTCCTGAGCCACCTGCATCCATCGACTTCCTGCATATCTTACCAGGTCGTCACTCCATCTAGTGGGGGGTCGCCCTACACTACGCCTACCGGTACGAGGCTGCCACTCGAGAACCTTTCTTCCCCATCGGTTATCGGTTCTTCGAGCTATATGGCCGGCCCATTGCCACTTCAGCTTACTAATCCGTTGGGCTATGTCGGTCACTCTGGTTCTACTGCGGATATCCTCATTTCTGAGTCTATCACGCAGAGAAACTCCGAGCATAGCCCTCTCCATAGCTCGCTGAGCGACCTTGAGCGTCCTCATACGGCCAGCAGTGAAGGACCACGTCTCTGATCCGTAAGTCATCACTGGCAACACGCACTGGTTGTACACTTTAGTTTTCAGAGATTGAGGTATACCTGACGAGAAGATGTGTCGTAATTTCCCGAACGCTGCCCAGCCGAGTTGAATCCGTCGATTGACCTCTCGGTCGAAGTTGGACTTACCTAGTCGGACTATTTGTCCCAGGTAAACGTACTCGTCAACAACTTCAAGCATAGTGCTCCCCACAACTACCGGCATAGGTGTGACATGGACATTGAACATAATCTTTGTTTTGTCCATGTTCATCTTAAGACCTATCCGTTGGGAGACACCATTGAGGTCATTGAGCATAGTGCTCCAGCGATTCTGCCATAAGGACTATATCGTCGGCAAATCGAAGGTGAGTGATGTACTCGCCATTGATGTTAATACCGTATCCTTTCCAGTCCAGTAGCTTGAAAACGTCTTCCAAAGCAGCGGTGAAGAGTTTCGGGGATATAACGTCACCCTGTCTTACACCTCTCTGCAGTTGGATAGGTTTCGAGCTCTGGTTCTGTACTCGGATAGCCATTGTAGCCCTACTGTACAAACACTTCAGCACTTCGATATACCGACAGTCAACTTGGCACCGCTGAAGGGACTGCAGCACCGCCCAAATTTCGACGGAATCAAAGGCTTTCTCATAGTCCACATACGCCAGGCAAAGTGGCAAATTGTACTCTTCAGTCTTCTGTACAATCTGCCGCAGGGTATGTATGTGGTCTATGGTACTGAAGCCTTTTCGGAAACCGGCTTGTTCGGGAGGCTGGAAGTCGTCGAGTCTGCTTGCGAGAGGATTCGTAATGACTCTCGAACACAGCACGTAGACGCGGCTCAGAAGGGAAATCGGTCTGTAGTTCTTCAAGAGAGCGTTGTCGCCTTTCTTGAAGAACAAGACCACCGCACTTCTGCTCCACGCCTCTGGAGTAGTGCCACCATGGAGGACGGAATTGAAGAGCTTCTGAAGGACTTCAAGTACCGGTGTTCCACCCGCTTTCAGAAGCTCCGCTGTAATTCCATCCTCGCCCGGGGCCTTGCCGTTTTTAAGGTGTTGGAGAGCCATTCTAATCTCGCTCAGACTGACGTCCGGGATATCATCGGAATAGTGTCGGATAAGACTTGCTCTTGGATCGTTACTCACACTTGAGTGTGGCTCCAACGATGATGTGTACAGCTGCCCATAGAACCTCTCAATCTCACTCAGAATCTCAGGTGTCCCGGAAACGATGTTGCCACACTCAGTCTTCAGCTTTGACAGTTGGCTCCTTCTGGCAGACAGATCTCTGGCAAAGACTTTGGAGCCCTGGTTCCGCTCGATCGCTTCTTTAATACGAGAAGTATTAAAGTTGCGTAAGTCTCGCCGCATGCATTTGGAGATCTGTCTGTTCAGTTGCCTGTATGCTGTCAAATCTGTTGACGATTGCAGCCTCATCTCCCGTCTAACAGCCATGAGATTAAGAGTGTGATCGGAGAGTTTTTGTGTTCTTCTGCGGCGGGTCTTGCAGAACTTAGCTCCGACCGCATGGACAGTTTCCACGAGCTTGTCATTCATATCGTCCACTGCATTGCAATCTTGTAGGCACTGAAAGCGGTTGTGTAACTCGAGCTGAAAGTTTTCGGGATTTTGGATTAGAGCACGAGGGGGACGGAGCGTTGACTTCATTAGACGAGACCTCTCCAACTTAACGTTTAGGTTCAGTGTGCCTCTAACCATTCGGTGATCGCTGCCAGTTTTCACCCTTGCGATCACTGAGACATCACTGAACAGTTGGCGTCTGGTCGTCATAATGAAGTCAATCTCATTTTTTGTCGAACCGTCGGGGCTCGACCAGGTCCACTTCCTGTGGGACCGCTTCTGGAAGAAAGAGTTCATCATAAAGAGTCCCTCTTTCTCCATAAAGTCGGCCAGCTGCTGGCCCCTTCGGTTCCGTTGCCCTATTCCAAATTTCCCTAACTTCAGCTCACCGTTTTCTCTTGTGCCTAGTTTTGCGTTGAAGTCTCCCATCAACACCGTGTAGTGGGTTTTGGAGGAATGCATGGCTTTGGAAATATCCTCATACATTTCCTCCACCTCCTCATCGGAATCTGCCGAGGTTGGTGCGTAAACCTGTATGACCTTCAGCGAAGTTCAGCGAGTTTCTATATTAATTTACTTCAAATATAAATAGACTGGTAAAGTAAATAGTAGAGATGAAACGGATATCCGGTAACTATCCGCTATTGGCCCTATCCGGCCTAAAATTACTATCCGGCCGGATACTGGATAAGAAACGGCTATACGGCCAGATACCGGATTAAAAAAAACACAAAATATCACATTTAGTTAAGTACTTCATTTATGTCACTTAACAAATGTAATTAGCAATCACAAAATTTTCATTTTAAAACTTACAAAATTAGTACTCGTACCGCGCTAAGGCACAGAATAAAATAATTGAACAACGTAGCCAAGGGCAAATTATGGTGAATAAATACTAATTTCTCTTCATTGAAAGGTAACAAGCGGTTTCGCCTGTCTTCATAAACAAGGTCAGCTTCAGAAAAAAGTCTTTCGCTGTACAAACTGCTGCAGGGTACTGAAAGATAGATTTTGGCAAACTTTAATAAATTTGGGTATTGTGTAGTAACTATGCATCTACCCACCAAATATAAGTGTCACGACCGCGAACAGTTTGCACTGACATTTCTTTTCGCTTCTTGCGATGCACCAAAAACGGCAATGTTCGGCAGAATATCCGGCTATCCGGCGATTAGACCGGCTGAATATCCGGTATCCGTTATCCGGCCAAACGGCTATCCGTTTCATCTCTAGTAAATAGCACTGGAATGTTACTCTATTAGGAACCCAATAAATAAATGGCCTCTATCAAGTTATAAAATGTATAGGCACATAAAAACATTTATTACGTATAAACTGATGATGCAAGCAAGACGGAACTCTATGTCTCCGTAAATAATGACATTTCGCCTTTGGACGTAGTGCTATCGTGTTCTGTCGCGAGTGTTCTAGCCCTTAAATGCATCATGTTGTAAAATTACAACATACCATTCCAACGGCCTCAAAATTACGCGTTTAGTGCATGCTGTTGTAGAATTATCACTAACGGGATAACATATTTTATCGAATGGCAACACATTTTATTCCTTCACGACTGTCAAATGTCAACTTGGCGGTGACAAAGCAAAGACTATTGTGAATTCTGGAGCGGGTTAGAATTGTGTGGTTGTTTTGTTGTGTAATTAATTGATTTTTGAAGGTGAGTACAAATAAAAATAGTTTTTATATAGAATAATTCATCAGAAAATAAACATTTGGTTTTTTATGAAATCTCGTGGATATTGATGTTGTAAATCTACAACACTGTGCATTTACTAGAGCATGTCGCTGTTTAGGTTCTGATCGCCAATTTCCTATTTTTTCAGATATCATCCTTGAATCAGAAGCAAAAAGAACAATATTTAGCTCATATTATTGACGGAGAGAGATCTGAAGATAATCTTTAGGAGTCTGATGCAGAAGAACATGAGATTTTTTATGAAAGCCGAGAAGATATACTTCGTAATCATGAGAATCCTATTGAGGAGGAAAATGATGAAGATGATGATGATCCTATCTTGGCAGAAGAACACCATTGACAAATGAAAACCCTGCAAATAATCAAGTGCCTCAGGTTCCATTTCCATTAAGAAGTCAAGCCAGTCGCCAAGATACCATGAAAGCTTTTGTTTGGAAGGTGAAAAAGTTAGTTTTGAATTCTGACCAGACTACTTTTCTTGGCAATACCACATACCCACCAGAACTGAGGGATCAAACTACTACTGGTACTCGATATAGTATTTTTTCGTATTTTATTACATCTGGAGTAATTCGGAAAATCGTATTTATACTCTGTTCAAAAAAATGTAACAAAACCATTGAATATATCTGAAACTGGACTAAAAAAATTCACGGCAATATTATTATACATGTCTGTCATAAAATAACCCACTGTTAGGCTTTACTGGTCAAACACTGTAGGTTTTGAGCCAATCAAAAAATTATGACAGTCAACAGATTTGAAACTATTAGAAGATATCTTCATTTCAACAACAATGAAACATATTTACCCAGGGAACACCCACAACATGATCGGCTCCATAACATTAGCCCTATACCATCTAAATGAGAAATTTGCAACAGTTTTTATGGAACAAAGATTGTTCATGAACAGATGTGTGCTACAAAAGTAGCACACTTCGTGAAAAAATATCTACCCAATAAAGCACATAAATGAGGGTTTAAATTATATGTAATATGCAGTGTAAAAAGCTATGCTAATGAATTTGAGATTTACACTGGTTAAGAGAATGAACGATTTCAAGATGAACCAGATTTTGGACCAGTGGGGAATGTTGTTATCCGGCTAGCCAGAGGTGTCCCAAGGCATATCAACCACATAATATATTTTGATAACTTTTATACCTCTATTCTACTTTTATCTTTTAGTTATCCATCTTGCTAAACAAGGGATCTATAGCCTGGGTACTGTATAATCTAACAGACTTGTAAAGTGCAAACTACCTGACAAAAAATCTATAATGAAGAAATCTGTTCCCCGGGGTAGTTATGAAGAGCAAATGACTAGCTTTGAGGGTGTTGATTTGACAGCTGTAAGTTGGAAGGACAATAAACCGGTCACTTTCCTATCTTCATATGTTGGTGCAGAACCTGTTTCTCTAGTAGAAAGATTTGACAAAGTTAATAAGACCAGGATCAAGATTACGTGCCCACGTGTAATAAAAGAGTATAATGCCCATATGGGCGGGGTGGATCTTCTGGATAGCTTCATTGGTAGGTATCGTATATCCATAAGAAGCCGTAAATAGTTCCTACGTATATTTTACCATCTGTTGGATATGACACTAATAAATTCCTGGCTTGTTTATAAAGACTTGAAAGGTACTGAAGGAACTTCATCAGTTCTGAATTTGTGTCAATATAGACTGGAACTAGCTGAGGTTCTAGCTAATATAAATAATGCATCTGAACTCTGTAACAAACGAGGAAGGCCCAGCACCAGTAACAGCGTTGAAATGTCAATACAAGTCAAGAAAAGTAGAGGACCAGTTCAGCATGTTCCACCTAAAGATATCAGGACAGATAATGTTGGTCACTGGCCTGATGATTGCACCCACAGTAGATGCAAAATGCCTGGGTGCAAGGGATATACACAAAGTGAGAAGTGTGGAGTAACCCTTTGCCTTACTAAATCTAGGAATTGTTTTAAAAACTGTCATATGTAATTATTTCTAGTAAATGCATAGTGTTTTATTTATGCAACAGTTGTTTTTTTTTAATAAACACCTATAAATATGATTTTTTTTATTTTTATTATTATTTTTCCCTGACTAGGCATGTACATGTCTACTACATATATTTTTCCTACGTAATAAGAACAAATCATCCATTTAAGGACTAGTACATTCCGGCTGAATGAGTGGAACAGCCGTGTAGTGGCGGTTGAGAATATCCACTGCCCCATATCTTCCCGTGGGTGTCGTAAGAGGCGGCAGAGAGACATAGAAAGGTGATGGGCAGCAGCATCTTCCTAATAACAACAATAACATAATAAAAAACTGCGGTTGCCAACCCGCTCGCCAAGCGTGGCAACTATGGCAAATATCCCCCCATGAGCAACGACGCAAATAAACAGCCTGCAGTCCCCGGCGGCCCCGCTATTCCTAGCTACGGTGGCGACCATGGTGACGGCGGGGCAGGGGGTGCTAAGAATCTCCGGTGGAGGTTCGGTTATCACCTACGACGACTCGACCTGGCAACGTATAACGCACGCACCCTGAGCACCGACGAGAAGATACTGGAGCTGGAAGAAGAGATAGACAAGTTGCGCTGGCATATTATTGGATTATCTGAGGTCCGAAGAGAGGGGAAGGACACGGTAATCCTCGAGTCCGGCAACTTGTTCTATCATCGAGAGAGCGACCATCTGTCCCAAGGAGGTCTCGGATTTATCGTCCACAAGTCTCTCGTCAACAATGTTGTAAAGATTGGGAGTGTGTCGACGAGGGTCGCGTACCTGATACTCAGAATTACCAAACGGTATTCGCTGAAGGTCATACAGGTCTACGCACCAACCTCGGCACATCCCGATGAGGAGGTGGAGGAAATGTATGAGGATATTTCTAGAGCCATGCATTCCTCCAAAACCCACTACACGGTGTTGATGGGAGACTTTAACGCAAAACTAGGCACAAGAGAAGGCGGTCAGCTGAATTTAGGGAAATTTGGAGTAGGGCAACGGAACCGTAGAGGCCAGCAGCTGGCTAAATTTATGGAGAAAGAGGGACTCTTTATGATGAACTCTTTTTTCCAGAAGCGGCCCCACAGGAAGTGGACTTGGTCGAGCCCCGACAGTTCGACAAAAAAATGAGATTGACTTCATTATGACGACCAGACGCCAACTGTTCAGTGATGTCTCAGTGATCGCAAGGGTGAAAACCGGCAGCGATCACCGAATGGTTAGAGGCACACTTAACGTTAAGTTGGAGAGGTCTCGTCTAATGAAGTCAACGCTCCGTCCCCCCTCGTGCTTTGATACAGAATCCCGAGACTTTTCAGCTCGAGTTACGTAACCGCTTTCAGTGTCTAGAAGATTGCAATGCAGTGGACGATATGAATGGCAAGCTCGTGAAACTGTCCATGCGGTCGGAGCTAAGTTCTGCAAGACCCGCCGCAGAAGAACATAAAAACTCTCCGATCACACTCTTAATCTCATGGCTGTTAGACGGGAGATGAGGCTGCAATCGTCAACAGATTTGACAGCATACAGGCAACTGAACAGACAGATCTCCAGATGCATGCGGCGAGACTTACGCAACTTTAATACTGCTCGTATTAAAGAAGCGATCGAGCGAAACCAGGGCTCCAAAATCTTTGCCAGAGATCTGTCTGCCAAAAAAGAGCCAACTGTCAAAGCTGAAGACTGAGTGTGGCAGCATCGTTTCCGAGACACCTGAGATTCTGAGTGAGATTGAGAGGTTCTATGGGCAGCTGTACACATCATCGTTGTAGCCACACGCAAGTGTGAGTAACGATCCAAGAGCAAGTCTTACCCGACGCTATTCCGATGATATCCCGGACGTCAGTCTGAGCGAGATTAGAATGGCTCTCCAGCACCTTAAAAACGGCAGGGCCCCAAGCGAGGATGGAATTACAGCGGAGCTTCTGAAAGCGGGTGGAACGCCGGTACTTGAAGTCCTTCAGAAGCTCTTCAATTCCGTCCTCCATGGTGGCACTACTCCGGAGGCGTGGAGCAGAAGTGCGGTGGTCTTGTTCTTCAAGAAAGGCGACAACGCTCTCTTGAAGAACTACAGACCGATTTCCCTTCTGAGCCGCGTCTACGTGCTGTTTTCGAGAGTCATTACGAATCGTCTCGCATGCAGATTCGACGACTTCCAGCCTCCCGAACAAGCCGGTTTCCGAAAAGGCTTCAGTACCATAGACCACATACATACCCTGCGGCAGATTGTACAGAAGACCGAAGAGTACAATCTGCCACTTTGCCTGGCTTATGTGGACTATGAGAAATCCTTTGATTCCGTCGAAATTTGGGCGGTGCTACAGTCCCTTCAGCGGTCCTAAGTTGACTGTCGGTATATCGAAGTGCTGAAGTGTTTGTACAGTAGGGCTACGATGGCTATCCGAGTACAGAATCAGAGCTGGAAACCTATCCAACTGCGAGGAGAGTGAGAGGTGTAAGACAGGGTGACGTTATTTCCCCGAAACTCTTCACCGCTGTATTGGAAGACGTTTTCAAGCTACTGGACTGAAAAGGATACGGTATTAACATCAATGGCGAGTACATCACTCACCTTCGATTTGCCGACGATATATTCCTTATGGCAGAATCGCTGGAAGACCTTAGCACTATGCTCAATGACCTCAATGGTGTCTCCCAACGGATAGGTCGTAAGATGAACATGGACAAAACAAAGATCATGTTTATTGTCCATGTCTCACCTATGCCGGTAGTTGTTGGGAGCACTATACTCGAAGTTGTTGACGAGTACGTTTACCTGGGACAAATAGTCCGACTAGGTAAGTCCAAATTCGAACGAGAGGTCAATCGACGGATTCAACTCGGCTGGGCAGCGCTCGGGAAATTACGACACATCTTCTCGTCAGGTATACCTCAATCTCTGAAAACTAAAGTGTACAACTAGTGCGTGTTGCCAGTGATGACTTACGGATCAGAGACGTGGTCCTTCACTGCTGGCCATATGAGGACGCTCAAGGTCGCTCAGCGAGCTATGGAGAGGGCTATACTCGGAGTTTCTCTGCGTGATAGACTCAGAAATGAGGATATCGGCAGTAAAACCAGAGTGACCGACATAGCCCAACGGATTAGTAAGCTGAAGTGGCAATGGGCCGGCCATATAGCTCGAAGAACCGATAACCGATGGGGAAGAAAGGTTCTCGAGAGGCAGCCTCGTAGGCGTAGTGTAGGGCGACCCCCCACTAGATGGAGTGACGACCTAGTAAGACATGCAGGAAGTCGATGGATGCAGGTGGCTCAGGACCGTATTTTGTGGCGTTGCTTGGGGGAGGCCTATGTTCAGCAGTGGACTTGTGAAGGGCTGTAATGATGATGATGATGATGAGTGGTACAACCTAGATTTGTCTAAAAAGTTTTATATTTCTTTTAACGAGTATTAAAGTGTCTACCAGTGATCATAGAATTAGTTTTGAAGCGACAGTAGCCTAATGGTAGGGCGCGGATCGCGAACTCAAAAGGTCGTGGGTTCGAATCCGCCATTTGACTACTGTCGTGAACCACTCCTAACACAAGCATTTTCAAGCTTACCAGGAGTGGTTAAAAGGAATATTAGTAATGTTAATTAATAAGATTACTAATATTTTATAAAAAAAAAAAAAAAAAAGTTATTTCAGGAGTACGAAAGTGACTTCTACTGAGGGAAGCAACTCCGAGTAATTGACCAGACATGTGCGAGTATTAAGTATCTCATCGAAAAAGCTTAGCAATTAGCTTAAGTAATTATAAATTTGCTTTTTTTTGAAAAATATATCGATTTTTTATCCAAATCGGCATTTTACTCACCCCGCACGTGTTGATTTTTGAACGATATCACGTGTTCTCTTTCTCCTTTATTTACTATAATTTGTTGTTTTAATCTGAGGTTTCAAGTGAAGTTTCTATTTTCAAATAAATTCAAATCAAAATGTGAGTTTTATTCGTATCAGAAAAAGTTAGGATGGTCCGGTCTAGAATGACCTCAATTTTAGTTTAGACCTTAGAGCTAGCAGAGCATTTTATTTCTTTGAAGTTGTTTGCAGTATAGGCTGGCGTAAGTTTAATTTTATTAAAGTTTCTGAAAACAATTGTGCTAACAAAAAAAATCGCGCACACACAAATGTGAGCTAATGTTATAACGTATATGGAGGAATATTGGGACTGCCTCGTTGGTCTAGTGGTTGAGTAGTGCGACTGCTGATCATGAGGTCCTGGGTTCAAACCCCCGTGCCTCGGAAAGCACGTAAAGCCGTTGGTCCTGCGCCTGATCTCTCTCCGGTCGTGTCGGTTTACCGTCCCATCGGATTACGAGAGTGAGGGAATAGAGAGTGCATATGTGCTTGTGCATACACTTGGGCACTATAATCCTGTCCTGCGCCGATGGCAAGCCAAACTGAGGCAGGCCGCCGTGGCCGGAATTCGGTCTGGAGGATATTATTATTATTATTATGTGTTAAATATTTTTATTACAACATTGTGGATGAATAATATTTCGATATTTCATGACTCGGGGAAAACGAGATTAAATGTTCAACGGATCAATCTTATTTCTTATCAATAAGCCCCCTGAATATATACGACAACAGCTACTACAGCTATTGTCATATATATGTCACATATATTTCTAGAGAGGTCTTGTTCTCATGATTTTGTTAAATTATCTCAATCATTTATTTAGTATTAAAATTTTATAGAGTGACAGACGAGCATATAGTCCACCAGATGGTAAGTGTAGTTGTGGCCTAAATATATTAGCGTCTACCCTCGATTAAAAATCAGTGTATATTTTACGTAAAACTGTGTAAATTTTACGTCAACGTATTTTAAGTCTCAATTTTTAGTGTTATTAAGGGAACATAAAATAGATGCAATGCATATAGTTAAAGCTCTTAATTACAAAGTTTTGAAACAGATTTCATGCTATGCTTTACACCTATTTAAAGTTCATTAATCACACTGAAATTTGCTATATAT